AATTCTCTTCTTGCGCTTGACCCATAATGCTTTGCGCCTTGGGGGGTAAGTTTGAATCAGTCGCCGCCATTTTGTTTTCGTGAACTGAATTCAGCTACTTAAACATGGGAAAAAATGACTTTTGTTGTGCCCACGGCTGCTCAAACAATCGTAAACGAAATCCTAAACTGCAGTTCTACAGAATTCCAAAAGATCCAGCTCGTAAAAAGGTTTGGATTAAAAGAATTCGACGCGAAGACTGGCAACCTACAGACAACACTCGCTTGTGTTCAGCACACTTTGTTGGAGGAGTTAAATCGGACGATTCACAAAGCAAATCATTCACTCCATCGATTTTCAGTTACAGCCATAATCTTTCTACACCTAGGAGAAGTAAAAACAGTCTGAAAACTAGCGATAACGATGAAAACATTCCACCACCTCAAAAGCCAAAGCGAAGGAGACTTGTTAAGGTAAGCTACAGGTAGCTAGCACAGTCTTTTCGTGTTTAATTTGGTATGGATTTTATTATTAGAGGTTTAAATTATTTTTACTGTAATTTCAGGAATCTAAGGAAGGAAAAGGAAGGCCGAAATTAGCAGAACCGTGTATAGACGACCATAATATTTGGGGAACCTGTTTAAGCCCAAACAACAGCCTTAAAGAACATGACTATTGTAGGACACAAMTCGACCCTGAGTCTCTGAAATYAGACCAGTCAGTTATAGAAGAACTGTCTAGGTTACACCAAAGAGTCACTCGACTAGAAAAAGAAAATGACTTGCTTAAGACACGTTGTCTTAGCCTTGATAATTTAAAAGAGAATGACAAGAAGTTTMAGAGCTTTACTGGATTCCCAAACTACAATACCTTCAAGGCTCTTTTTGACTACCTGGATCGTGTTGCTTTAGATAAAAAGAAGAATTGGAGGGGATCCATTATGCAGATTAAAGTTTCCACTGCACGACAAAGTCAAGCTAAACTGACCTTGGAAGAAGAGTTCTTTATGGTGTTAGTCCGCCTGCGAGTAGGCTTAACATTAACAGACTTATCCCTTAGATTTGGAGTAAGCGAATCAACAGTCAGTAGAATTTTTACAACATGGATAAACTTGCTATACTTTCATCTGAAAGAGCTGTGTCAAATGCCAGAGTATTGCGAAGAGCTAGGAAAGCCTGAGCAGTTTGCAGAATTCCCAGATTTGAAAGTCATTGTTGACTGCACTGAAATCTTCACACAGAAACCTTCCTCATTGAAGGCAAACAAAGAAATCTWCTCTAACTATAAGAGTCATGCAACATTTAAGTTTTTGGTAGCTATTAATGCATGTGCTGCARTTGTTTATATTTCTCGTGGGTGGGGAGGCAGGGTTTCAGATAAGCATATAACAGCTAATAGTGTTGATTTTATTGCAACTTTACAACAAGGTGATCARGKAATGKCTGATAGGGGGTTTGATATTGGGGATGTTTTAGGGGAGAGGGGGGTTACAGTAACTATACCAGATTTCAAAGGACAAGGGAGATCACAGCTAAAGAAAACAGAAGGGAAAAGGTCAGAAAAAAATAGCAGAGGCTAGAATTCATGTTGAACGAGCAATTCAGAGAATCAAGACATATCACATTCTTGACAGCGAGGTACGCTTGAACATGGCTCATCTTGCTGAGCAMATTTTTACTGTTTGTGGATATTTGGTTAATTTCCAGTCACCCATATTAAAATGAACATCATAGGCTATACTGATCTACAAGAGTGATTGCAAGCAAAACATTCAAGATAGATACTGTAGATATATATACTATATGGTCAGAGGTCAGTAATCAAGAAATCCAAATTTGATCTTGTGTCAGATCTGGACAACTTTTATTGTGTGGTTTTGCAATCACTCATGAGATTTTATAATGTAATAACAGTATAATACAATGTATGAAACAAAAGTAAGACACATGACATCATTTAATACTATTAATAAATGCTATAATTACAACAATGTTCTATTGTCTTTTGCCATTAAGTAAATATTATTCAAACTCTGGTTAATGAGACTATGGACCTAAGGTAGTTAAATATAAAATAAGAACTATTGAAAGCTATACAACAACTAGTATGCAATCTGTGAATTAAATTAACATATTGTTGACATTGTCTAGTCACTGACTTTTCAGTTTTGCCTAAGGCTACATAACATTGAATAGTTTACACCTAATTTACCAATTCTGTCAATACCGTCCTTAACTCTAGGGTATGCTAATTCTAATAAAATGACATTGTAATAAAAGTGCTTTAGCTTTGGCAAAATTTGATTCATRAATTCCTTATTATAGGGGGTGTTTTTGATAATAATATTTTCACCATCAGAGGCTACAAAATGAGCCCATGTTCTTTCTGTGCAAAACATCTGTAGTTGCACTTGATGGTAGTATGGATGATTAACATTAAGTTCTGATGATCCATCAATTTCCTTGATAATATGTTGTCTTCTGAGAGCTTCTTCTAATGTCTCGCCTTCATGAGGGTGTACTCTTTTCACTTCAATGACCCCTTTCTTGCCTAAGAGTCCATCTGGAGATGCACCAAGGAATGGGTGTGACTTAGATACAAAAAGTCCACATTGTTCTACTTTGTTTCCTGTCAAGCTTGAATACTGCCTGATGGTTTTAGATTCAGAATTTATACCATCCCTCATGTATTGTGATTCATAGTGTTTGTTATAGCCAAGAATGTCTCTCATAGCCTTAGTGGGACTGGTTCTTTCTTTAACCAGAGCACGCTTGCATTGAGATGCTGTGATGCGGGGTAAGCGTTCTTTGAACCATACATTACTATTTGACTGATCTTGTGTTGACTGTTCTNGAGTGCAATATTAGTTAACTCTATCTTTAATGAGTATTCGTCTTCTCTTTAGTAGTAGAAATAACGGCTGATTTGTATTTTTATCGTGGCTTCAGTATAGTTTTGCTCTTGCAAAAATTCATGTAGCAGAACAATAACACCGCGCCGACTAGCAGGCTGTCGGCGAAGCAACAGTTCCACAAACTCACTATTATTCAACTGTAAAAGACCCATTCTGTCCTTTGTTTCCTTCCAATGTTCGTATGTCGTGGCCTTTTGAACGTGATATCCCTCAGTTATTTCTTCTTTCCGACGTGGACGACCGCGAGAAGATTTCCGTTACGTTGATTTGGAGCCATATCGGCAAACTCAAAATAAGACGTTTAAAAAGACTCAATATTCGAAATAATTCAAGAAAATGAATATATGTTACATAAAGAACTAATATATATCGAATTTATAAGGAAAAAGTTAGAGATGTTTCAGATTTTAGACGGATTGTGTAAGCTATCACTAAAAATAATTTCGATGTCATCGAAAATGGCGCTGATCAAGGTCTTCGCTGTCATTCGAGGCGCGCAAAGCATCACCCTGGGACGGCTCCTTTAATTAAAATTAGATTGAACTCTTTTCTCGACCTTTTTAGTCGCAGGGGCTGTGGAAAAGTATAAACATATAAATTACAATAAAATTTAATTACAACACAGAAGAATAATCAAATAAAATGCTTGCTTTAATGGGTTACCTTTGTAATTCTTTCTACGTTATTATGACTTGTCGTGAGTCATGTGTATTGCGCGGAGCGTAAAAAACGCAATTTCAGACGTTTTAAAGAATGCATATCTAACAGTTCTACTCTAAATTCTGATGTTAAAGCTATCCAGATTGAGTTCTAGCTACCAATTTTTAGTATTTAACTACGTATGAAAAGATTTTTTTCATGATAAAAGCTTGTTGTATTTTCCCAAAATGTAATTCATTATAACTATATTTACTGAAAAATGAAAGCTTGATGAATAAGGATTGACAACAATATTTAAAAATCTTCTTAGCCCCACCGCCCCTGAAGCCGCCTTTGGTAGCGTCCCTTTACCACGTGGTTAATTTATATCTCAAATGTTGTAAACGACTTATGAAACGCCAACACTAATCAACGTGTTAGATAAATGACGAAAAATGATAAAGGATAAAATAACAAGGTAATTTTAAATGACTGTTTATTCCGAAAAGCAAGAGATCTTTGAGTGTGCTTTTATTTGTGCTTTTGCACAAGCATGCATCAAACCAAGGGCGCTAGAACTGAAATTATGACCTATAAGATCCAAAAATTGCTTAATTTATCCAACATAAGATAGTCGATAATAAATTGTAAAGTTTTACTTATCTGAAATATACACTGAAATGTCCTCTTAGACACTAAAAAGCACTTGATTTTACGAAATTCATCCAAATGATCGTTACTCAAGCGGTTGTTGCTGAATTTATTACCGCTGTCCTTGTTGTACCTAGCCTGCTAACAGGCGTTCCTGCTGGGGGGCCGAGAAGGAATGGGGAGGAGAGGAGCGGAAGGGAACGCCTGCAAGAGGCTATTGTTTGTTTGAAATACACCCCCTAATTAGCTATGCAAGAAGTGGACCAATCAAATTCAACTAGAAATATATCGGAAGTGAAAATCCACTTCCGATCAAAACATGGCACACGTGCGAACTTGTCAAAAATATCATGGCCGATGTATGCGATCCGAATGAAAATTGTAGATTGTGTAACTGTAATTTTCGAGTTAAATTTGGCGTGTCAGGAAAAAAAGGATCGATTTCTTCAGAAAACTTATTTAAACCCTCTCAAAGACAAGGTTCTGTTGGCGTTATTTTAGCGCAAATTTGTAGAGATGTGGGGATTCCTATAGAGAACGACACGAAGAACTCCGATAAAGTCTGCAATCCCTGTGGCAGGAAAATCAGAAACTTAGGAGCTCTGTATCAATTTGTAAAGGAAGCGCTTTGTTTAAAAACTCCCTTAAAACCTAATGAACGCAAAAAACGAAGTTTGGAAACACCAGACAAGAAAAGCCCGTCGTCGTGGAGAAAACCGGCCAAGTTGCAATGCAACGTCGCTTCTCCCGCCGCCAAATYAAGTAAAAAGTCACTTAAATTTAAAGAGAATGCAAAGAAAGAAGACTTAGCCTTGGCGTACCTAAACATAGATGACTTGCCGAAGCAAGGATTGCAAGTTAAGGTGCTGATGCTTTACCCAAACGGAGACGTAGTTTTACGAATCCCGCGCGATGAAGACAGCAAGAATTTGGTGAAGCAAATTGCACTTTGCAGCTRGAAAACCGCATCCAAGGCTATAGTTCGACATAGCGAGATCATGTCTGAGTTAAAGTATGAAATTAGAAATGAAATTGGCAATGAGTTCACGGAGTACTTGCATCTAGGCAGCGTTTTACAGAGTATTCAACCTGAAGATATCGCAAGTTATAACAACAAAATCTTACACGAGGAAGTTCGTATTCATTGCCCTCTTTGGTACGAGGCCGTCCTTGGAGCTATTGGCACGGATGAAGAACAAATGAAGAACTGCTCAAAAACCATAAATTCAGCTGCTTTGGCCACAGCTACCCTTGTTCGTCAAAGAAATATCCATATGTCAGCCTTACACTACAGAATGTCAACAATACTCTTCCACAGTGGCACAAGATTTGAGGATTTGATTCGCTTAAATCATCTTGGTGTTTGWATGTCGCCAGACAGCATAGTTCAACTTCAGAGAAAAATGGGTTCACAGTTAGAAGGGAAGGTTCAATTCTGGAAGAAGTGCATCGAAGAGAATAAGGGTACCCTGATGTTATGCGAGGAGGTCAAAGAAAAGCAAGTACCTGTTAGAGACAGCTCAGACATGGACATTTGTGTCAATTTTGACACAAGGAAAGACACTCTGAAGTCATATGACAATTTTACTGAGAAGAATTTTTCCTATTTWGAGGGAACAAAAGAAACTGTCCAAAAGAAAAGAAATGAGAAAGAAGTTTCAAGTGAATGCTTGGATGATATCATTGACTGTCTAAAAAGAACAAAGCTACCATTTTACAAGTAAGTATTTGTATACAAATACTTACAAGAACATTGTCATGTTATAATTATCACATTCAAATATTTGAGCAAATGGTAATGGTACTCAATGGTAATCAATCTGTATGTACTCTAAAATGGTTTGAACAAAAAAATACTATTATTTATTTTGTAGGATAGTGGGAGATAATATAGATTTTGAGATACAAGCACGTGTTCAAACGAAGTCCCATACTAACAGATCCATTCATTGGACTCATCAGTATGCAATAAAGAATCGGGTGCAAGACCCAACCCTT